ATAAATGAAAAGTAGATCTGTACAGCATTTTATTTACCAAGTATAAATGAAAAGCAATGGATTATGGTATTCTAGCGTTAATAAATCCTTGTCGCGCACCGTGATCGATACACGGTCTCGTCTATGAATATTTAATCCAGGAAGGGTGCTACACCAGGAGTTTATCGCGATGAAATTTTTCCGCGAATTCGTTTTGCGAAGATTTAAAGTCGCGAACGAACTACGATGGTCGCCGGCGCCGCCGGTCCAGGCCGATACATTATTGATTTAACAGAAGAAGTGGAGCAGCGCGTTGTAAGCTATCGTGCATGGAATGTAATCTGCTCCCGACGTAATTCATCGTGCGAGAGTTTACGCGACGGAACGTTTTAATTTCGATGTGAATTCATGGTGAAATATACCATTGTTCTCAAACACGGAAATAAAATATACGTCCATTGTCAATAATATTGTTAACTGGTACTTCCAAAATTTATATTCATACTCTTTCAGAGGAATACTGTTTACTTTAATACGTTAACAGGAACTTTTGGGGTGATTTCGGTTCTCGAAAATGTAGTGATGGGTTTAAGCTAATTTGAGGACTGTTAGGACTCGGAGATGTATTGTGGAGGTATGTTAGAATGTGGACTGTTAGGATTTGGAGACATTAAGGATAGTCAGAAAATGTCAAAAGCATTGGAATTTGGTTATTAAGTTATTAAATTTGATGACGTAGAAATTTAGGGATGGGTAAATCCTAATGCAAGAATACTTGTTCACTTTTTATTTTCCTTTTCATGAAATTTTTACGAATATGTTTGAACCACTTTCCTGATTAAAATGAAACCAAACACGACGTAATACAGAACACATTTATTTGCAATTCTAAGTGTTTCTTTTGCATCAAAGACTTTATTGTAACAACAATTTTAGACTGTCACAATTTTATGGTAAAAATATAAAAGTCGTTAAGAGCAGTTTTTTTAACTTGAAGTTCGAAGTAATCAATATCCCGAAGAAATTTAGGCAACATTCTGGAGTATCCGGCGTTATACACACACGTATGAAGACAGATAGAGGCAAGTCAAGTACAAATGCAGAACAAGTGCATTTCACGGGCCACGGTATTTCAGAAATTTCCCGATAGCATCCCTCTCGATCGACGTTCCTTTACCACCCTCTTTCTTCGTTCCGCAGAAACTCGGGCCAGCCGTTTTCAAGCGTATCCGGTATCCAGGTCTCCAGCATTCGAGGTGGGAGGATTTCCACGGTTCTTCGCGTCGGCCGGCCTAGACGTATTTACGAAGAAAAAGGGAAACCCGGTCGATCTCTGGCTTTGTGTTTTCTTGGATAGACCGGTTACCGAGTCCACCGAGACAATAACCATCCCTCTTTTCTCGTGCGCTGAATTATGAATGCCGATTCCACTGAATACCATTCAGCCAATGGGATTCGTTAGAATCGCCGGTGCCGGAGCTTTTCTTGCGATTCGACACATAATTGCGATTACCCGACTCGCTAGTCTGTTCGTTTAACTATGAATGCCAACAGCTACGTTGTATGGACCAAAAGGGGTTCTATCGAAAGGAACTACGATCAATTGTATACCTTTTTATTTTCCGCTATTGTTTCGACGCTATTGCTCTCTCAAACTAATTCTTAACCACTTTCCTTCGCCACGTTACAATTTTATATTGCCCCTATACGCCTTTATATCTTCAAGCTTTTTCTCATTCATTCGTATCTGTTCATTCGTTCATGTGGTGTTGATAAGTTAATAGAATGTGGTGTTAATAAATTGTTAATAGAATAAGACTGTATAAGTACCAGATGGACCAACTGTAAATTTAAACAGTTAGATATAAAAATATATGTATAAAATTTGAGGAAGACATTTTATATTTCGTTTATGTTAAATTTATTATTTCCTTCGTGCAAGTAAAATAATATATTCATGTAACAATGTTGTAACTGTAAGATTAAGTCATCGACTTTCATTTATATTTCGTATATGTTAAATTTAATATGAGACTCCTTCGTGAAAGTAAAATAATATATTTTTGTAGCAATGTTGTAACTGTAAGGTTAAGTTCGATTTACGTTTATATTTCATACATGTTAGATTTGATATAACACGTCTTCGTGAAAGTAAAATAATATATTCTTGTAACAAAGTTGTAACTGTAAGGTTAAGTTCGATTTACGTTTATATTTCATACATGTTAAATTTGATATAACACTCCTTCATGAAAGTAAAATAATATATTCTTGTAACAATGTTGTAACTGTAAGGTTAAGTTCCATTTACGTTTACATTTCATACATGTTAAATTTGATATAATACTCCTTCAGGAAAGTAAAATAATATATTCTTCTAACAATGTTGTAACTGTAAGTTTAAGTTCCATTTACGTTTATATTTCATACATGTTAGATTTAATATAACACTCCTTCGTGAAAGTAAAATAATATATTTTTGTAACAATGTTGTAACTGTAAGTTTAAGTTCCATTTACGTTTATATTTCATACATGTTAAATTTGATATAACACTCCTTCGTGAAAGTAAAATAATATATATTTGTAACGATAGTGTAACGATAAGGTCATGGACTGTAGCAGAACAATATTCTTTCCTCGATCCCTTTCACGGAACAACCACCATAGGGTAATTCGAGACAATATCAGTGTAATCGACCTCGTTAGTCGGTATACATTGATGTGCAATGGTGTGCGTTTCGCGTGAGTGGCACGCGAATAGCGTGCATCGTCACGGAGTTCGCGCTCGAGTCACGCGTCCGATCCTTTCGCATACATCTGCATTCGAAAGAGATTCGTATGTATCTTGCTCGTGACAATTGTGCCGTGTCCCCTAAACGCGAGACAACCGTTTCTCTACCCTCGTGATTACCGGGCGGAAATTAAAAATTCAAAAGCCGGCTAGGGTGAAACCGGAGGGACGCCACTCGTAATGAAGAGCCGCGTAAACGGTGCAAGACGTTTCAAACGTTTCGAATACGGTTCGGATACAAATTATTGAGCAGACTACTTACAAACCATTAACTTACCCTCTTTCGTTCTTCTTCGGAGAAATATATAAGTCTTTAAGAAACAGTTCGGTCGATCAAATATCATTTAATTGTTGTCGTTTTTAAATATCATGAAAATTGATTCACATGAACTTGCCATCACTACCTAAGTAATAATTTCTTTAAAAATATGTATAATAGCTCTAGCTAATAGTAATATAATGCAATCGCAGTATAACTACACGCAAATTGTCGCTTCAAATCCGGAAATTAATATCCGTAATCCAAAAGTAAACATACGCAGTCCAAATTATACCGCTGATTCATCTACTGGCACAGAAACGAGCTCCATAACAGAAATTACATTACGAAGGCAGAAAAAAAATACAAAAGGTTCCTATTGTACCAATTACAAGGTTCAGCAAGGAAAAAGCGGTCTCACGTTCCTTTTAACCAGCATCACCACCAAGAAGGGAGGTGAAACACAAGAGGGATTTTCAAGTCGGACGAGCCCGCGATATAATCGACCCGGTCTTAGAAGCTTCAAAGCACACTATTGCGTGTGCACACACGCGTGCGTCCGTGTGTGGGTCTCAGGTACGCCCTAGTGCAGGTTTCACGCTCGAACGACCACGTGAACGAACGTTTGTAACGCGCCAGGTAAAACGTGAACAGGAGTAGAAGAGCAGGTAACCTGTGCCTGACAGGTATGCGACCGAGCTTCGTGCGCTCTTTCCAGCTACGTTTTACGCGATCGTCCTACCAATTTCTACCTTGGCCCCTTGCGAGCGACACGCAAAAATAAATAAAAGTCCGGGGTAAAGAGTGCCGCGGAAAAATTGCGGAGCACGGTGCTAGAACTCGGGGAACAAATGATAAAACGAAACGCGAAATCCTGGATTATTGTTTGGAGGATGGAATTTTTTTTTTGGTGCGAAATTCGGAAATTTTTGGATTTGGAGATCTGGGGGTGAGTTGGGAGATTTGGGGTGGATTGGGAGATTTGGAGTTGAGGGATTGGGACGTTTGGAAATTTAGAAAATTTTGGACTTGGCAATTTAGAGGTTTGAGGTCTTGGGAATTTGGAGATTTAGGAATGGAAGAATTCGGGAATTCAAGGATTCGAGAACCTGGAGATTTGGGAAACTTGAGAAGGGAATTTATGGATTTGGTAATTTGAGAATTTGGGAATTTGGAAATTTAGGAGTTTCAGAACTTCGAAATTTAGATACTTAAGAGTTTGGGAATTTGAAGACATAGGAATTTGGAAATTTAGGTGTCTAGGAGCGTGGACATTTCCGAATTTTGTTTTTCGAGAATTTGGGAATTTAGGAATTTGAGACTTTGCAACCTTGAGAGTTTAAGAGTTTGAAAATTTGTAAATTTGTAAATTCAAGATTGTGGAAAATTAATAACCTCTAAATTCGGCGATCAAGAAGTTTGCTGTAAGAGTATGAAAATTCCATAAATTCGAAAATTAATTTAAAAATTAATAAATGTATACATTCAGAGATGTTAAAATTCAAGGTTCTACTAACTCAACTTAAAAATTGATCAGCAGCTATAATTGATAGCAGCTATATCGTCTTTTAATTTCTGTATTATATAAATTATTCGTATTAATTTCCCTAAAAAAGTATTAATTTCTGTAACTAGTTAAGAAAATTTTCCAGAGCGAAAATGTTCGATGAAGAGGACGTCGAAAGCACGAACCCTGTCTCGTGGATAGACTTCGGGATCTGGCGTTGTTGATCGAACCGTTCGTGCATAGTTCGCGGAGAGGGATTAATTCGACTGCGACTAATTCGAGAATTGCCTGACGACCAAGGCTGACACGGGATCAACCCTCGTGAACCTTCGTCTCTCTGTTTCTCTTTCTCTCTCTCTCCCTCATCGGTTAGCCGGAAGCTGGTCGAGCAACAATCAACTTGCGAATCTCCTGTTACCGCGAAACTCTTGGACAGCTGGTTTGATGTAGTTTATAACTTACGGTGGACTTAACCTTTGTTTCGTTGCTTGAGGTACGGCACGTCACGCCAAGTGTGTGGCAGCTACATGCCATTGCCATCACGTTCTTGGTCGCTTATTGGCTGCTGCAGTCAATAAAATTAAGATCGATACGCTAAGTTGCCTTTGCGTTCCTTAATTGTTAACCTATTAACCTACTATTTTCTTCGGGGGTACTTCATGTGTTACTTCAAGTGTTTTCCTCAAGTTACATCGTGTGTTTATTGTTAGAAAGTGAAGACTTACTTCGTGTGTTACTTCAAGTGTTTTCTTCAAGTTACATCATGTGTTTATTGTTAGAAAGTGAAGACTTACTTCATGTGTTACTTCAAGTGTTTTCTTCAAGTTACCTCATGTGTTTATTGTTAGAAAGTGAAGAGTAAAGGAAGTTAAAGGTTTTGTATCCAAAGATACGTGAGTCTGGAGATAGTAATTAAAATTGAACTCAAAATTCAATAAGGATGTCGAGACTGATACGTCACATGTAGAGTGTGTCATAAGTGTGACATGACAGAGCAAGGGGTTAAGTAAAATTGAACGAGGTAGATCCACACGATGTTTCGTCTATTTAATCGTCTATCTAATTAAGAGTAAAATCGTACTCTTATATAATTGCTGTCATTGTTACTACGAACCATAAATATTCGGTTTGAAGACTTTTTAATAGTGAATCAGTCTACCAACTTTCCTAATATAACCCCCATGTGTTTTCTCCTTAAACCATGAAGACCCCACAGCATTCGTCTGTCTGCAATGTATGTCTACAAGTAACAGACTCGAACATTAAGCTTATATCTGGAGAAAGACACATGTATCGGAAACAAAACAGAAATCCGCGAAGCTATTCAACGCATCCGGTAAAAATTGCTGCGTCAGGAAATACCGTGGCAATCATCCCGGTAATTGCCGTTTGTTCGGAGACAACAGCGTCGAAATAAATAACAATAGAGGACTAAAGCAATCCCGTCTGGTCGTTACGGGTAAACAATGCGAGATATCTTATCCGTACACCGAGTATATAGGATACAAGAGCGGCGGCAACAACAACGGCAGAGGCGGCAGCAACAACAGCGAACGTCGCAGCTCGCAAGGAAACCATTTCCTGCATAAAACAAAAGGCGTGCAACACGATATCCTGTGAGTTTCATACGCTTACGTCTCGTACATATTTCAGGCACGTCCTGCGCTTCGAGATACGGAACCGTATCAGGATGCGCCCGACTCGCTGCATTTTGTTCAACGCAAGCGCGTTTCTTCCTCGACCGTCTCGCTCGCTGCTCTCTCGTATTTACAACGAAACCGCACTGTGCCACGGTTGTTTATAACCCTACCGGAACTTTCGTCTTTTTTTTACTTGGCCTCTTCTTTAATCCCTCAAACGACGCGATTTACAGCTACTTTTTGATGGGTGGATGTTTTGGAAGACTGGTCACATTAAATATAGGCTGGAAGGACTCATAGGTAATCAGCTTTCAGGGGGTTGAGAATTGGAGAACTTGGGAATTCAGGGATTTGAGAATTGGAACACTTGAGGATTTGAGAATATTGTGATTTATACTGGAAACTTGGGAATTTAGAAATTCGAGTATTTGCGAGTTTGGAATTTGCAAAATTTGGGGGAAGGTAATTTAATAGTTTGAGAAGTTGAGAATTTGGCAAATTGGGATTTAGGGAAGTTGGGAATTTGGCAAATTGGGATTTAGGGAAGTTGGGAATTTGGCAAATTGGGATTTAGGGAAGTTGGGAATTTGGCAAATTGGGATTTAGGGAAGTTGGGAATTTGGCAAATTGGGATTTAGGGAAGTTGGGAATTTGGCAAATTGGGATTTAGGGAAGTTGGGAATTTGGCAAATTGGGATTTAGGGAAGTTGGGAATTTGGCAAATTGGGATTTAGGGAAGTTGGGAATTTGGCAAATTGGGATTTAGGGAAGTTGGGAATTTGGCAAATTGGGATTTAGGGAAGTTGGGAATTTGGCAAATTGGGATTTAGGGAAGTTGGGAATTTGGCAAATTGGGATTTAGGGAAGTTGGGAATTTGGCAAATTGGGATTTAGGGAAGTTGGGAATTTGAGAAGTTGGGATTAAGGGAAGTTGGAATTTAAAGAAGTTGGAAATTTATTAAATTGGGATTTAGAGAAATTGGGAATTTGGGAAGTTGGGAATTTGGCAAATTGGGATTTAGGGAAGTTGGGAATTTGAGAAGTTGGGATTAAGGGAAGTTGGGAATTTGAGAAGTTGGGAATTTGGCAAATTGGGATTTAGAGAAGTTGGAAATTTAGTAAATTGGGATTTAGAGAAGTTGGGAATTTGTGAAGTTGGGAATTTGGCAAATTGGAATTTAGGGAAGTTGGGAATTTGAAAAGTTGGGTATTTGGTAAATTGGGATTTAGGGAAGTTGGGAATTTGAGAAGTTGGGAATTTGAGAAGTTGGGAATTTGAGAAGTTGGGAATTTGAGAAGTTGGGAATTTGAGAAGTTGGGAATTTGAGAAGTTGGGAATTTGAGAAGTTGGGAATTTGAGAAGTTGGGAATTTGAGAAGTTGGGAATTTGAGAAGTTGGGAATTTGAGAAGTTGGGAATTTGGCAAATTGGGATTTAGAGAAGTTGGAAATTTAGTAAATTGGGATTTAGAGAAGTTGGGAACTTGAGAAGTTGGGAATTTCGCAAATTGGGATTTAAAGAAGTTAGGAATTTGGCAAATTGGGATTTAGGGAAGTTGGGTATTTTATAAATTGGGTTCTAACAACTTATAGACCTGAGAAACCCTCTGGTACAAATAAAGAACTACAAATTTGAAAATATACACCAGCACTATTGTACAAAATTATTAAAAATATACAATGAACATAAAATTTTGGAACAAAATAAATTTGTAAATTAGAAGAATGTCTCGTTAACGTTAGGAACGTTTTGTAACACCTTACAGAAACATGACAGTCGGAGTGAGCTATCTGTTCCATTAAAAACAGGGTTTGCAAGTTGGCGTTTAAAGCCAGAATAGTTTCGCTTTCATTGTGAGAGAACTGGACGGCCGTTGATAGAAGTACACATTGTCTGCAAAGGGCCGTGTAGCGATGCATTGCCAGCATGCAGCCAGCACTAACGCGCAGTTTCTATTAATATTTCGACTGTTAGCTTCGTGTGTCCGTGAGCCGGTGCACAACTCCGTATCAGGGTCTCCTTTGTATTTTCGAAGTATAACGATCATAATAGGCCTCTCTCGGCCCGCACGGGGAATACAATTGCCCGGGGTGGCCGACTCTATATACGAATGCCATTGATTGTACAAGTGGAGCAACTTGCATTCTCCCAGTGGTAATTGGTCAGGGTGTGCGGGCCCTGTGGCTAGTTGCACACGATGCATCTTGGGTTTATCGACCTCGTCAACCTTCCTAATTTCATCTCTTTTCTATATTCGTATATTATTATTTTGATCGTGGAGATTTTGTAAAGATAGAGGTTCAAGGAACTAAGATTCTCGGGTTCTTGGATTCTGAAACTTTCCTTTGTTAGTTTTTTGAATTTTCGAGTTTCTGGGTTGCCACTTGTTAGTTTTCTAAATTCTTAAATTTCTGGGTTGCCACTCGTTAGTTTTCTAAATTCTCACATTTCTAGGTTGCCACTCGTTAGTTTTCTAAATTCTCAAATTCTTAAATTACCACTTGTTACTTCTTTAAATTCTCAAAATTCCCATTTTGTGCTTGTTACTTCGCCAATATCTCAACTTTCTAAATTCTCACTCGTTAGTTTTCCAAAATTTCAAATTTCTAAATTACTACTCGTCACTTCTTTACATTCTCAAATTTCTAAATTACCACTCGTTATTTCTTTAAATTCTCAAAATTCCCATTTTGTACTTGCTATTTTCCCAATATCTCAACTTTCTAAATTCTCACTCGTTAGTTTTCCAAAATTTCAAATTTCTAAATTACCACTCGTCACTTCTTTACAGTCTCAAATTTCTAAATTACCACTCGTTACTTCTTTAAATTCTCAAAATTCCCATTTTGAACTTGCTACTTTGCTAGTATCTCAACTTTCTAAATTCCCACTCGATAGTTTTCTAAATTTTAAAAATTCTAAATTACCACTTGTCACTTTTTTACATTCTCAAATTTCTAAATTACCACTCGTCACTTCTTTAAATTCTCAAACTTCCAATTGCTCCTTGTTACTGTTCCAATACCTCAACTACATAAATTCTAACTCTTTGTTACTCTAAATTCACTCGTTAATTATCTAACATTATGGGGACCGAAATCTAACATTTGCTGACAAAAAACATTTATTTATTAAAGAAATCTTAAATGCTGCAACAAAATAATTTCCATCATCTAACGCTTTTTGCCAGCGTAAAAACAATTGTTTTTAAAAAAAGATCCTTCGATTTTTCATTAAAAAACTTTAAAGTCATCGAAGAAATTTTGAATACTTTTCGATAGGCCTAACATTTTAAATTCCTAATATTTCAGTTTCCTCACTCGCGCCTAAAATAAAATCCTAAAATTTGTACATCATAAAATTTCCGAAACTAACCCTTCCAGTTTCTAATATTTCAGCTGCAAAACGTATGTATCGAGGTATTAATATTTTTGAGATCGGTAAGTATTTTAGAAGGAATTTACGAGCCTTCGATGGATAGAGATATTTGGTGGAGTACGTGACCAAGGCGAGCGGAAGGTTCGTGTGGCGAGCAATTTTTTTTGTAAGGTATACGGTGTTTGTAAGGTGTACGAGCAAGTAGAGCTGTAACTACCCTAGCCCCGATATCGTATCTTTTATTTTGATAAAGCGTGTGGAAACGGCCGGTCGTATCTCGCGATTTAATCGTGAACTTACTGCACGCTCTCCTGCTCGCGAGCTAATAAAATGGAAGCCACAGTTCGTGCCACGACCTCCTGACTCAAAGGAACATTCTAGGCTGGGTGACCAATATTAAGGCCATCTTTAGTCATTTCAATACCTTAACATTTCGTACACAGATATATTCACTGTTCGACAAAACAAAAGTTACTTATTTTGGATTTCTTTATAAATAACTGTAAATGCAGGTCTAAATTCTAACCTCTTTCTTTCAAACTTGTCT